TTTAATAGCAGCTATATGCCTACATACATCTGGATGAAGAGACTTTTGCAGACACAAACAGCATCCAGTAGCAGAGCATATTCACATCCTAGGCAGTACGGGCTTTCAAACTTCTACGGATTTATTTCTCCATTTGAAATGCATATGAATTAGTGAATTTATACCATCAGTGCTTCACTTTTCAAAGGACAGTTTTAAAAGAGTGGTTTTTCACGTGTAAAAAGCTAAATATACATTTAACATCAACAAAACATTGAAACAGTTTTAGAGCTCTTTCCTCCATTTTTCATTTTTTATTACTCATTACACTCATCCTGCTTGGGCAAGGGTATCTGGATGGTCACATTCACTGACATAGTGTTAGACATTTGTGTTATGACAGATGACAAACACAGAGGAGAGAGAATAGAAATAAAAAAAAAATAAAGGGGGACGGGGGATCCCTCTTCACTTTAAAACGAAATCCAAAATGGAGAAATAAGGTCCTTGTTTAGTTATGTAAAATTTTTTACTTTACAGTGATTAGGGATCCAGAATATTGCTAAGCTACTTTCTCCCTTACACTTGGCAGCATAAAAATAATGAAGAAAAAATAGAACCTGAGAAATCTGGAAAATGTCATTCTAAAGATATCACAGGCTGCACTGCCAAGCCCTGTTTTCTCATTAGTATGGAAAGAAGTCGAAATTTCTTGAAAACAACGTATTCAAGACCAAATTCTTGAATTTATATAAACAGCTTTCATTTCAGTATATAAATCCAAAACCTCTCAAAATTCTTGAGTGACCAAGGACAAAGAGGGAGAGACAGTGTTCCTGCCACCCTCCCCATAGGGAGCTTCTCTTGATGGATGCTGCTCTCTTCCAGCCTTGTGAGCTATTTCGTCTCAGCCTGACAGCCAGAGTGGAGACCCCCAGGAGCCACATCAGTCCTCACAAACCATAAGGACAAGGACTAAAACAAGACACACAAAAGGTTCCCTGAGATCAAAAGAAGAACCCCAGTATATACAAAATCCAATGCTTTGTGATATTTGGAGTATTTTTAGAGCCTAGAAATTAGAAAACCAATTTTCAGTTCTTACATTCCACTCAACCATTTACCCAGATCTTTAAAAGATTTGAAAAGTAAAAGGGCAATATCCTAAAAGCAGCTATTATGTCACCACTGTCCAAAGTCCCCATAACAATTTGTAGCCTGGTGTCTCATGTTTTATTATACAATTCCAAGTCACCAGAAATAACTTCTCAATCGAGCCAAGTTCATGCAATGATGCATAGCCAAAAGTTGCTTTGAGGAGGAAGGGGCTGAGGGTTGAGAGGCCCTGTAGCCAGTTTTATATTACATTTAATCTACAACAGTTTAGAAATATCAAATGAAAAAAACCTCAAAATACCAACAGCTCTGAGCTTCAAATTAATTTAAACCTGCCTTTTTTTAGCACAAGCTCACATGACTTGTTAAATAATTTACTCTATAAATTACTTATCCTGTCTTATTAACAATTCTAGAGTGCTTTATGTAACTGCATTAGAAATTTATTTTGTGGTTTTGAAATGTACGCAATAAACAATCACCTCTGTTTTAACAGGCAAGAGTTTAAAAGTCATCTACTGTTTTGTTGGCAAGTAGTTCTTCCTGAAAAACACCAATTAATTTCAAACCCCATTCACCTGAATAATCATAAGTAAACATATTAATGACTTGAAAGCAGAACTGTGAAACTAGGCCAGGAATATACTTGCACTGCAAGAAATCACTTTTAAATCAAAGTCTTTGAAGAGTCATATACACTGAGATATAATAGCAATAGATTTTACTTAGCAAGAAAATATTAGACTGGTCCTTTTACAAGAAGTCCTGAACACTTTAAAAATCACTCATTACTACTCTATTGATATTCTGTAATGAGTGATCCTGACAAGAACTACTTATTTGCTATTGTGCCTACAATGTATGGATTTAACAATACTGATATAGTTATTTTGCTCTCACCACTGTTGGTCCTTGGCTCTTAATGTGAGCTTCAATGACTGATATGGTTATTTTAATGCAGGATCTCGCTCTAGAGTTCAATTTATCTCCAATAATATACAAACAACCAAACAATTATTACAATTACACTCTGTTATGATAAGCATTGGCACTTGCTTTCTAGATAAAGGCCAGCCCACACCATCATCCTAGCCAGCTGGACAAATCTAAAATGCATCTTATTAACTATAATAGAAAACTATACAAAAACAACTAGGAAGGGAAAGAGTGAGGAAGATGACTAAGAAAGCACCAGGCATAAATACTCTTATGCCCTCCCACACAAAATTTCAGCAGCTGGCCCTCACAGGGCTGATGCAGAAGCATTCTGGGTGTCTTTCTACTGCCCTCAGTAGATCTGGATGTTGGATCCAACCAGGAACCAAGAAATAGCTCAACTGGGACAAGACTGCTTATTAAGCTCTAAACTGCAGTTTACTTACAGACCAAAACAGAGCTGAAGCACCTGAGCATTAAAGGACAGAGGCTGCCTTATGCATGGCACCTCAACTCTGCTATTCCTACCACAATGCTCAAGCCTTCTATGCCACCTCTTAAAGGGGAAAACTCTGGCTGCCCACTCACACCCCATCTGCTCAGTGCCATCCACCTGGCCCACAGCCAACCCTCTGAACCACCATGGACTTCACACACCCACCCTGACCACGCAGTTATTCCAGCCTCCCGTACTTGTGGCGCACGTAAGGAATTGGAGTCAGCACACATGCCCCAGGTGCCTGTGGATGTTTTGTCTCGGACTGTGAGATCCACTCCCGTCAAGAGCAGTACATAACCAACAAATAAAGAATTGGTTTCAATAGACACTATGGAAATACATGGGAACAAATTCTTGAAATTAATTGTCTTACACTCTTCTGTTATTTATACCAAGAGGAATTCCACCAGAGACCAATGGAATTGTGCTCTTGTATCTGTAAAGCACATAAAAAAGAACCAGGCCTGAAGATTCACAAGTGAAATGCAATGCCCCAGTCTCTTAAACCTGTTTCTTAGCTAGAGTAAAGCAAGATCTGCAGTGTTAAAAATGGTTCCACAATCTGTAGCTACTGTATTAGAACTGCTTCCCTACATAGTTACTGTTTACCGAGGTCACACAACAAAATAATGTGACAGCTACTGCAGTCCAATTTTTAATTTATGCCTATAAACTAATTGAAGGGCCGCTGTGTTTTATGTTAAAAGTACACATGAAAAGACCATCTTAAATATGTGTGACAGCATCTCCTGAGAAATCCATGACTCAAAATTATTTTTAGATCACCAAACACAACAATGTGCAATGTCACAGAATGATACAGTAAAAACCAAAAAAAAACCTGTAAAGACAGCGATGCGCAAAAAAAAAACCCAGAAAATGAAAACCAAAACCAGCAACACAAAATGACTAGACACGTTTTAAGTTAATCATGGCTGGAACACATATTTATAATACCTGTTTTCTCCTCTGGCCTTTTAAACAGAGATTAAATTCCAAGGGAAAATGGCTCTGTTACTTCTAATTTGAAAGCACCAGATAAAAAGGCTACAAAGCCTATGTAAATGAGCACAGATGCATAGCTCAAAGTAATTTTTTTCCAATTAAGCAATCTACAGAATATTACACAAACATCTAAATCAATAACAGTTACAATTCAGAAAGACTGTTTCTTTACCATAGGTCCTAAAAATCTACCAAAGGTAGGCCATGTATGAGTAGTAGAAAGGAATGCCTCCAGCTTTCTCCCCAAGCAGAGAAATGCAGCAAATTGACTTCGACAAACTGTAGGAATGTAGCTCAAAGGCTAGAATTTAATCTAAACTCACACTGTATTCGACAGTATTTTTATACTGCTTCTAGAGGAAACTAACAAAGAGAAGAAGGATGGTGAAGCCAAATAGTGAGAAACCTGAATCAATTTTGGGGAAAATATTCTGGTATCTTTTACATTAAATGCCATAGAAAGTAATTCAGAAACAATAACAGGGAAATAAGAAGATGGAGAAGACAGCTTGAGATGGTTTTTTCCTGAGAAGATGGTTTTTTCCATCATCCAGTACCCAAATTTTTTTGCTCAGCAAGAACCTTTTCAGGTTTCCTCAGGCAACGTATATAGATGCCACAGTGCTCTGAGTTGTGAAAGGATGCAGGATTTAGCATGAAAAGCAAGAGCACTCCCTCACCAAAGACCATCTTCAGGCCAACGAGGATGGAAGTACCACATGGAAACGAGGGGGGAAAAAACTTTTTTGCACCTTCCTCACGCTTAATTAGGGTTTCCTAATCGCCTACCACTTGCTGACAAGCAGCACAATGTTCATTCATCTGCAGGCTTCGTATTTTCTCCTTCCAGCCACCTCCACTGAGAAAGGCAAACCAGGTTCGCATTCCTATGGCTAGGGTTTGGAGGATAGTTTGCTGTCACTTCCATCAGAATCTGCCGCATCCCTTTCCTTTCTTTTTTTTTTTTTTCTTTTTTTTTTTCATAGGAAAAGAGAACATGAGAGATCTGGGGTGAGGTTCGCAGCAATAAACTGAGGGAGAGAATGTAAAAAACCCCATAAATAAAATAAACTCTTCGTACCATACCTGCTGCCGCCGCAGAGGTGCGGGCTGACCGGTGCGCGCCCCTGGTAGGGGAAGGAGCAGGAGGCGGAAGCGGAGCCCCAGCCCCCCGTACCGCTCCCCGGCTGCCCCGTGTTCCCGCTGCGGCCGGCGGCGACCCCCGCCCAGTGCCCTGGGAACCGCATCGCGGCAATTAGGATTCACCATCTAAACAGGTTGACAGCGGTACGTCTGGAAAGTCGCGTCCAAATTAAATCATACGGGCTTTTAGTCTTCCAGCCACCGCATCTGCCCGCGGAGTAAGTGCCTCTCGGCGCGGGCCAGTTACCCGCCACCTCCGCCTGCAGCTTCCCCCGCCTGCTCCGGCCCGCCGCCCCCGCGCCTGGCCCCGGGCCGTACTCACATCTCGGTAACATTGTCGCCCTCGGCGCTCCGCTGCGGCACGGGGAAGGAGGCGATGCCCGGCGACGACTCCGTGCACCAGATCCGCCAGGAGCTGCAGTTGCAGGACGCGGGACAGCCCAGCGCACCCCGCCAGCAGCCCAGCACCAGACAGCACAGGCACCACAGCCGCGCCAGGCCGGGTCTCGGCCTCCGCCGCCAGGACACCATGCCGTCCCCGTTCACTCCAGCGCTGCCCCGACGGCCTCCTCCTGCTCCCTGCGCCGCCGCCGCCGCTGCCGGGGCGCTCGGCCGGAGGGTGCGCAGCCTTCCGCGCCGCAGGCGGGCAGACGGGACCGGTGCTTACATGGGCGCGCCGCAGCCGCAGCCACACCGCCCCGCGGCGCTGTCCGCCCGGGCACTGCGCGAGTCGGCGGGGGCCGGACCCGGGCGGCGCGGAGCAGAGGCCGACCGGGGCCTCCGGCGCGGCGCGGCACCTGCCCCCGGCCCCGCGGGCTGACAGCGACACCGCCTGCCCCTGCGGCTACTCCCGATGATGCTGCAAAACGCGCGGGGCGGCGGGGACAGGTGGCGGAGGCTGCGCGCCTACCTGCGGGGGCTCGGGCGGCGCTGCCCGCCGGAGGGAGGGCGAGCGGATGAGGAGGGAGGCGCAGCTCGCGGTGGCGGCGGGGCTCGGGGCTCCGCGCTCGCCGCTTTACGCACCGTCTCCTCCTCCCTCCAGCTGATAATAAACCAGCTCCGGCTCCTGCTCCAGCCCAAGACGGGGAGCTGCCGGCAAAGTGACGTGGGGCTGACGCAGAGAGGGGCAGAAACTCCACAAAATGAGCTTGAAATAAAAAAAAATAATTAAAAAAAAAAAAGGACATGGGAGGGAGGAGGGGGAGCGGGGGAAAGGGAGGTTGCCGAAGAGCAGATACCAATAGGCAGGCTGCGCCTGAGCTTTCAGCCTCGCACATACATACGCGCGCACACACAAAGAGGCGTGCACGCACCCCGCGGGATGGGGAGCGCCCCACCGCCTGTAAGAGCTGTCTGCCCCGGCGGGAGGACAGAGGCACTTTGCCGAGGGGCACTTGGCATCCCCGCCAGGGCGAGAGCTCGCCATCGGGTGATAAACCATCGGGGATGGTGTGAGAACCCCGGAAATCAACGGATGAGCGACCCTAGTACTCCTTGTTCTTCCCTTGACAGCTCTGCGGTCGGGGGTGCTTTGCGTTTTTCTGCCCCCGCCCCCGCTTGCGGGTTCCGCAGCGCTGCCGGTGAGCCGGATCCCGCCGCAGCGCCCCGCACTGAGCGCTCCGCAGGCGCCACCGCGCGTCCCGCCGCCGCCGCGTACCGCAGTCCCGCCCGCACTGCCTCCGCGCGGAGCAGTGAACCCCCGACCGCCCCATGGACCCCCAGGCGCCAGGGGGACGACACAGGGCACACAGCAAGGAGTTATCATTGCTGTGCATCGAGGCTGAGGCAAGTCCGAACGACATACGTGTGTCACGCATTCGCAGGTGCAAAGAGCAGCTGATCTGGGATGTTCTTCCCTTGCCGTTTCTGAGACTATGTGCTTCTGTCCTGGTACACGGCGGGTAGTCCTTGCTCTCTGTCAACAGGTTTTTCACTTAACCTCTACTGTTACATCAAAAGATGGTGATGGTCCTTTCTTACCTAATTACCCGAGCTGAGTATTTTCAGATTAGTAAATCTGGGTGAATTAAAGAAAGAAAAGGTTACACAATTTCTCTTACTAAGATACAGAACAAACAGTCAATAGGCTGATAGAAAGTGCTCGGGAATCAGTTTGACATGGCACTTATTAATTGAAAGCACACTTCATTCTTTTTGCATTTGCTCAGGCTAACAGGAAAATCCCCATCTTACTGGAAGCATTTGTAGGCCTGGCATGGCCACAGAAAGGGTTAGTTTTGCTTTCAAAGAACATCCTGCTAAGAAAGTCAAAGCTGAAACACTGATTTATACTTCCCCGTGAGGCAACAAATGAAGACTAGACAAAAAGACATAATTGAAAAATACTATTGATCATGATATACTTCAACCTAATTTATTTGAAGTTTAAGTAAAATGTTTACAGAGATACTCAGAATATACTGCCTCCTTACCAAGTTCAGCACTTTATTTTTTTAAAATAAAACACAAGGAAGATGAAGAGAGGCTCAAGGAATAACAAAGCCAATGATGCAGCATAAAAACATGGAAGGACCATATGAAATATTATTTGGTGCAAGGCCTTTTGTCTACAATTAATACAATTTTTTTTTAAGGCACCAATAGCTTTAAAATAAAATATTTCTCCAAACAAAGTATTTATAGAAGGATAACTAGTAAGATAAAAAGGTCATGGAAAAATTTTCTAGAGGCAAAACAGTTTGGTATTTTTAAAGGATTTGGAGGCAAGTGTTAAAAGAGAGAAAAATTATTTGCATAAACTGCAATATGATTCTATTTTCAATCTTCAGTAAGATCCTTAATGCAGGACAGAAGTAAAATTCTGAAATCTGTAAGTTGCCGTAAAACCTTCTTTACTGTTCTCCAGTGAAGTCTACTTACAGCTTTGGAAAATATGCTTTATTTCCCCTCTATCTCCTGGATGAACATGAAGACATCAGCTCTTTATGGCCATAATTACTCATTGCAATTCTACTTGCGATTTTATGACAATTAGGTCACAGCTATCTAATCATATATGGGCACATACTTAAACTTTATTACTTCACAGACATCTTAGGTCTCTGTTTTCCATGAATTTGCAAAACTGACAAGTTGTCAAAGAAGTTTTAGATAAAACTATGCAGTTGGATCAAACTGGCTAATGAGATGGTTCAATAGTATTGAAATGACAAAGTTCTGTAGGCAAGACCATAAATTCATAAGGCTGCAGGTAAGCGTTAAATAGTGCTAGAGCAAACACTTGGAAAAGGAATCATCACCATTGTGGTAAACCTCAGTTTATATTTCCTGCAATTCAAAAAATTTCTCATGAGGGTGTTGCTGAGTTATACAGTAATCATTGCTTAGAAGTTTGGTGACATAGATTTCTGCATGACAATGCCAAAACTTACCAGATGTAAAAACGTAATGGTAAAATACCAAATTCTGTTAAAAATCTATTTCCCCACTAAAATTAGTATTTTATCAAAATAGACTGGGGGGGGAATAGGGGAAGATAGCAGACTGAAAGTGCCACCAGAATTGTCAAAATGAAAGCTAGGGAATGCTGCACTGAGAAATACCATTGCTGGCCTAGTGGGGGAAGCAGCAACTCTTTCAATAGGCACAGTTCCTGCTTTGAGTCTTTAAATTCTAGAATTATTTAGATAGCTGTATAAAGAATTTCTGTGGTAAGTCATGACTTTATTTTACGTAGATAAGGTTTATTTTTATGTATTCTATGGTTTTTTCTTACAGATTAAAGAAAGTAGGAAGGAACTTCAAATACTCAAGTACTTCCTATTAATCAGTACTTAAGAAAGAGCCACAATGTGAGTCAATACTTAAGGGAGAGCCACAACTAAACCACTAGAGATAAATAGCTTTCTGATAATGCTGCAAAAGCAAACATCATCCTGAGGGTGTTAAAACTGGAGCAAAGTTGAAAATATGACAAAGCCATAGAGTGTGATTAGAGGGCTAGAAAATATGAATTCTGAGTCAAGATTGAAAGAACTGGCTTTTTTCAGTGCATGAAAGTCTGACAGGAAGTGCAATAACACCCCTGAAATATGTAAAAGGGCATGCAAAGGGACAGGTAATATTTTTTTCCTTGTCTGGGGAATAGGACAAGTAATACACTTGATTTACAACAAGGATGATTCATGTTTGACATTATGAAAACTTTTGTATGAAAAGGACAGTTAAGCACCACAAATAGATCACTTTGGAGAACACTCAAATCTTGAATAATAGAGCCTTCTCAGAGCAAGTGAGGTGAACCTCTTCAGGGCCGGTGAATTAGAGTCAGATTTGCCTTAGGTAGATGAAGGCAAATTAGCAACCTCCCAGAAATTCTGTTTCCTTGCAATACATATTTCTTTGCCCATTTTTTTTACTGCTGTAGATAAAGTTACGTGGGAGCACATTCATCTGAATATATTAGGAGCAAAACCTGAACATAATGAAATACTCAGTGTTTCCCTGAAATCACTATGCTAAAGTTAAGTTTAATCACTCTTGATTAACTTGAGCTTTAATTCATACACCATACATAAAGAACATATCACTGAATAGAAATTATAGTAAATATCTGTAAAGGTGGATAACATGAATTTGTGGGAAAAAGTCAGCACCTGAAAATTCAAAGAATGCCCCTGAGAGTAGTGTTATTTAGGTGGGGGAATAAGTAATTATACTGCTGAGTCTGAGAACAGGTCACATGATTTGTGTACCCTATCTTGGCAAAAGCGTGTGTATACAGAAAGACTAATCTTATCAAAACTGTATAGAAATAAATGCTTACATTTTGCTTCCAGTTTCGAAATATTTAGCTCTTACAAGAGCGAGAGGTTGAACACCTCATAGGAACTCATGATCTTCTCAGAAACCTTTTGTTTTCTAGAGAAATATCCCAATTCCCATAAAACTTTTCATACGAAAATGTCCTTGTGTTCAAGAACTGTGGTCAGAGACACACATCTGCACCACGACCCAGAGCAAGCCTATGAACTCCAATCGCCAGCGTCTGCTGGGCTGATAACTACTCTGAGATGTACCTGCCTCTCTTAAATGAGCTCGCACATCTTTTCCCTCAATGACAAAAATTGGTTTCCACACAGCTCTTTTCTGAATTTCCTTCAAACACGAGGCACTCTCTGAGTGGTTTAGGCTGCCTTTTGTTCTTTGCAGTGTTCCACCTATTTGCAGATTTATCTAGCTACTTGATCATGGCTGATTTTGCATTCCTAATAACGGAAACGTTTACCTTATCGCTTTCAAGCACCGTTCAGCATTTATTGGGTTTTAAGGGAAGCTGAATCCTGCCACCTTGTGCTCAAGAAAATTAGCACACCTTTTTGTTTTTGGAAGGAGTGAAAAAAGAGAAAAGGGGAAGGAAAAGTTGACTAACTACCACGTTTCTATTAAACAAGGAATAAAATGGGGCTCTGAGTGTACAGTGATTGGGTCCAGTTCGATATTGCCTGGGATGTCTACCTGAGATTTTTTAAAAAGGACAGTCAGTCTTCTAGGGACACTGTTCACACCGGACGCTGTAACGCCATGGAGTGTTGCTTTTCATATCCCTACAGAGTGTCAAAGTCCCCCATGCCACACCCATGCCCTTATGAGGGCAAGACATTTAACTAGCCTCTTGTCCCATAGCGTGTGTTTGTGTGATGGCTGCTGGTATTAATCACAGAGTTCCTGATTACTCTTGGTCACATTTGTTTGCTATAAGAGCAGTGCTGCTTTCTTTTCATCAATAAGCAGTCACATCATAGAGTGGAGGGAAGGACCCTTTTCATTTATAAAAAAAAAGTTAGTATTTCTTGGGGGAATGGTAAAAGTAGTGATTGTAAGGAGCATGGATCTCCCTTTTTTGCTGAAGTCCGAGGCAGCATTCTTTTTTTCTGGCTGACAGGGCTCCACAAGTAGCTTCCTGGTAATGTGTGAGTGCAAACATCATCCTGAAGGTGGTCGAACTAGAACAAAAACTTGAAAAGGTATCTTCC